TCAATGTGTGGATCAAGGTCTTGGACTTGTCGCTACCGGCGGCTCGCAAAGAGATTGCACCTTGGATAACAATCAACCACCGCGTTCTCAAACTTTACCAGGAGGCGATTCGGGATTGCTGGCCTGCTCAGCGTTTGCTGCATTAGGCGGCTCGCCGACGCCGACATCCTTACCTTGCTGCCTGGGGCAAGCACATTGTGCTTCTTGCGGTGGGCTTTTCACCCCGACGCGTTCGTGTGGGAGGAAAACCACATGTGGCAGTGTACGCACTGCCGCTTTCCTTGCTGCACATGGGGACCACCTTCCATCCAATCGTGCATGTGCTCCCACGGGAACACATGCCGCTGCCTCTTTCGATTGCTGTTCGGAGCGACCCCGAAAATGCCGTTGCTGGCATCCTCAACCTCATCCTCTACCTCAAGAATGTGGTCCGTCTCCATCTGGTCCGACATGAATGATTCCAATTTTAAATGGAGGCCACGGACTGCGCCACGGAGCTTTTAGCCAGTGGTAAACAGGGAATTTACCGGGTAATACTTCGCGCTACCTTTACCCTACCGGGTAATTATTCCACACGACCTTTACCCTACCCTTTACCTTACCCCTTAACATGGTCGACACCTTTACCCTTTTACCTGGTAAAAAAGGTAAATTACCTGACCTTGCCGAGGCCTAACTCGGATTAAACTTAAAGCATTTCAGCTAGCAAGGCAACATCATCTGCATAGTCCAGGCCAGTGAAGAAGACCTCGTTGCCTAGGGTTAATCCCAGCAAGCCTTTATGGACCGTGCGCTGCAGTATCCAATCCAGTGGGGCAAGGAACAGGTTCGGGGCAATTCTGCAGCATTGCCTTATGCTGGTTTGGATAGTGATCCACTCGGACAACTCTCCGTCTACACTGATTGTCCATGTTGAGCTTTCTTCATTAGATTCACAATCTTCTGTGGCAATCCAATGTGTGTGAGGAGCAGCCAAAGATATTTTCGGTCGACAAGAGTCGAAAGCAGCATTGAGATCTACATAGGCTACATGCCAATCTCTCCTTGTTTGTATGAGAGAGGTCAATGTGGTGATACGGTCTATGGTGGAGCGTCCGTCTGTGAAGCCGCTCTGTTCCATGCGGCGCACTTCTCAAAGATTTTTTTACTTTTGCAGCAATTTTGAGGAAAATAACTTGTTAGGGCATGAGAGTAGAGTGCCATGAATATTCTTGTACTCGTGTCTACTCCCCTTACCCTTGTGGAAAGGCAGAATGATACCTTTCTTCCAGTCTGCTGGTACCGAGCCTGTCCTCCACATGTGCTGGAAGATCCTTGTTAGCGATTTGATGACAACTGGGCCTTTGGACTTCAGCATTTCTGCCGAGATGTTGCAAATTGCGGGTACCCTGCCATTTTTCATTTTTCCAAGAGCAGCCATCACTTCTTCCTCCCATGGCTCAGAGCAAGAGATCTTGGGATCTTCAGTTGCTGTTGCTGCGGTTTGCAGGTGTTCTTCAGAGGGGGACGATGGAGGGTGATTCAGAAACTAAAAATAGAATGCTTTCCAGCGTGCTAATTTCTGCCTCCTATCGCAGACAAGGATGCCATTGCAGTCCATGATTGGGCTGGAAATTGCGTAATCAGCTCCCCGGAGCTGCCTGAAGTTTGCAAAGGGATCCTTAACTTGACCATTCGCAAATTCTTGCTCCACTGCTGCAGCTTGCTCCACTGCTGCAGCTTTCTCCTCTGCCCATCTCTGGTGGTTACCCTGAATCTGGTTCTTGCATTGCCTTATGTCCTTGTAGTCTTGGTCAGACCCTGCTAATCGTGCTTTACGTTTCTTGTCAATTACACTCCATGCCTTGTCACTGATGCACTTTTTTATATTACGAGTTTCAAAAGACATATATTGGCCGCATTGTTGACAATCTTTAAATGGTTCCAGTCTGTTGGCTCTTCATTTGATAAGGCAGAAAATTAGTTTATAATATCGACCGTGAATTGCTGTTCAAATGCTGGGTCTGAGAGTTTTTTTATCCTTTATATTAAGTTCGCTTGCTTGCTTAGGACCGGGCAAATCTTTCGGTCGTTTTTTAACCCACTTCCCGTCATCCAATCGAGCTGACATTTTCCACACAGACTCGTTGTGCGTGACAATTAATGTTCGTGAATTTTTTTTCCCTAAATTTTACACTTTTTATGACAAAAATATATTTAATTACCAATTGCTTAATGCTGCCATGCAATCATCTGACCCATAGGTGGCAGCCATCTCAAGCCAGAGGACGAGAGGACTCTAGCCGCCACGCATATAAAGGATTTATAGTGAAAAACTTTGTTTTTACGGGTTATACTTGTTATATATCGGGGTGACGGTTGTGATTTATTGCTAGGAAATGGTTTGAGTCTGATACCGATGGTTGTGATAACTGGGCAATGATCTGTGTCAAATTCCAAGCTATGGTAAACCTGCAATTTTGCAGAGCTTTCCATCTGGAGTTAATGAGTATATGGTCAATTTCTTTCTCTGTGGCTGTCGTTTGAAAACCATGTAAGTCTGTGGATGTCACAGCGCTGGAACCAGCACCCACCAATTTTAAGCCCAATTACTGCTGCCATGTGGGCTGGTCACAATTTGGTAGCCTTCTCTGGCAGTGCCAGAGACTGCATTGAAATCTCCGAGGCACATAATGAGGTCCCGTCGTTTTGTGTCAGGTTTAGTGACTGTTCCAGAAACTGATTTAAGTGGTCTGATGTCGGTGTGTATGTTATGGCAGTGTATAAATCACCTATGGTGTTCCTGAATCTATCCATCAGTAGCCTGACATTCACAAGGTGCTATTCTCATAGGGCTGGCTTGGCTGTCCGATCAAGGGCAATAGCCACCCCAGCAAGCCGGGGAGAGCCATCAGGAGGCCCTGACCACAGGATGGTGTGGTTTCCTGCTGTGGTTTCACTAGCACCATGCCAACATACCTCTTTGGAGGCCCATGATACTTGTTTTTGCCCTCAAAATGGTTTGCATAGTCTTTTGGTCATGTCCACCATAACACTTGACACAGGTGGCCAGGGAAAAACCAGACTGCATGCTCCTTGTTAACCTGCATGACGAGCGATGCGGTATAAAGACGTACTTGGTAGTGCCACTCATGGGCAATTCTTGGCAGTTAATTCCCCTGGTCTCTTGCCGGGAGGCAAGGGTAGGTAGCTGGGAGACTTGATGTTGAGTTCCCTTGAGCCGGATACCCAGCTGCTCCTTTAACCTCAGAGCAGAGGGAACTTGCTGAGTGTCAGGATATGTCCACACGCCGGTGGGCAGAGCACGAGGCAATAATTAGTGCGTTAGCTGTCTTGCATACAGCACAGTAGAGCCCGGTCAACAGGTTACCCGCTATGTGTAAGAGTCCTTTCGAGCCGCATTGTGGTTTCCTTGGCGAGGATGGCAGCAAGAGAAAGCAAGCAAAAATCATGGGAAGATAGTCAAGTGGTTGGATATTTTAGGGCCGCGAGCTTGTCGAGTGCAGCCCTAAGGTCAATGTCTTAACTGCTCGGCGTAGATATTGGGGTCGGGTGAAAGTGAGATGGTGGAAGTTGAGTTTGCGAGTAGGTTTCGAAGAGTGGTGAAATTGATACAACTGAATTATGTGAAAGATGGGTTATCTTGGAGATGAGTGGCTGGGGAAACTTAATGGAGACGATTATGAGGCTATGGGATTTAGTTAAATATAAAAATTATTAACCCTTTATACTATAACATGTTAGAAAAGTTCCCTAGTGCTATAAATTGATGGGCCAAGCATGTTAAGTGTACAGTGCAGTATTGCACGTGACATTTTTACTGAAATTGCCAAGTAAATGTTTATAAATGCTTAAAATTCGTTTTTATAACCTTGTTTTATTCCTTTCTCTGCTTAAATGAGATTACCGTTTATATTTTTAAAAAATCACTTTCTACTACGTTGCTCAGTAAAAACATCACTGTTAAGAAGATGGGCCGAAGGGCCGTAAATGAAGTTTCTGTGTCATAAATCATCGATGGCAGCCTTATACTGTATGCACATGTCGCATTAGATCCAGTTTTGTAAATCGGATGTAATGTTCCCCACATTTTTTATAAAAAAATTTTAGTGACATTTTAAAATACATTCAATCAGTACTTGATTGAATAACAATGTTTCACAAATGTTAAGCGATAAAACCATGGGCTTAAAACAAAATCTGGACAGACAAACATATAACAAATTCACGCTTGTTTTGTTATAGTATGATGTACAATGTACAACTTGTCACAGTCCGGCTGAAGTGCACTGGGGCGATGACGTGATGGTAGCCATGTTGCATAGTGACTTCACTGCGGCCATGTGTGTTCTGGTTTTATTCTTCATAGATGATTGGCTGGTGTATTGGGAGTGATGATGTTATCTTTAGCAACTATTGCTATGCATCTATTTATGCAATCTGCTGGAGGATGCACAAAAATACTGTGTTTTGACCTACACAGTTTCAGAGCCTACGCCAATTGCCTGGGGGATTGTTTGTGCTTTATTTTTTCTCATGTCCCTGGGCTTGAGCTGGAGCAGAGTTTACGGTACAGAAGGCTGGGAAAGTGGAGTTATGGAATGACCAGAGCAGATGAAAATGAGTGAAAGTTAACTTGGTGCTATACACAATTTAAAATGGATGCGAATTGTATGCACATTCATATTTAGGCTAAGGGAATAAATGTGACAATCTCTTAAAATAAAAATAGATGGTACAAATGAGAGAATTGATTCTTGAATCCCAGTCATAACATTGAACCATGACGGTTAATCAAATCATATTGATGGCTATATGCCTACTACATGTGCCAAATAGAATCCAATAGTTTTAAAACTGATTATGGTTATAATGTGTATGTTAAGTTCGTGCCACTGTTAATATATGGTAACCTGAAGATGTCTGGTCTGCATTTGTTATTGTTGTTACTATCACATGACCTCAGACCTCATTTGTGTTGCCTTGTTCTATGCTTACAGAGCCTCAACTTTGTTAAACCTTTGCCTTAACAGTCACGGGTACATTTACCGTAACTGAAAAATATTGGTTGAATTCTACCATTTGGATTATCCAACACGTCATGAATATCTACCAAGACACTGATGGACCTCAAGTTTCATTTTCCCTTAGAGAACTTTATCAGCGGCATGAAGACAAACTCAACATTTTATGTGCATTCATAGATAAGTTTTTATTTTTTGGAAATGGTTACGAGGTCTTCTGAAATACTTTTGGATTCCCTTTTGGAAACCTGACTCGCCTAAAAGCAATTCACTTGAATTTCTGGATAATTTGTGGACTTAATGGAAGACCAAACTGGTGAAGCAACAAGAGCTATTTTAATTAGTTAACGTGCCTAAGCTTTGTGTCCCAGGCTGTCTGGCATGAACTTTAAGGTTTGCAAATGGAGAAAAATGTTCCATTCTACTGGCCCATGCTTCTAATGTCTGTTTTTACAATCTTAACTTAAAGCTTTCGTGACTAAAGGAATTCATATTCTTTGGGTCTTTCGGTAAAGCCACGTAGATAGAAAAAATAATTTTAAAATCACGATGTTTCGATCGCAACACAAGCAATCGTCATCAGGTGAAAAAATAGCGGGAGAGCTGCTGAGGCAGGATGTTATAACATATAACAAACTTGTACTTAGGAGCTCATTTAAAATGCATTTCCCATCACTTTGTTGGAGAATCTGGCATCTGTTTTGATAATACTGCCTATATAATGGGATGGTTTTATGTGCTCAAGTTCATTGTCAATTAAGATGGCTGTTCTACATCCTGCAGTGCGCTTAATACTTTCATCACCTTTGCTTTCCTCACATTGATTTTCATGCCAATTTTAATGGATACTTCGTTCAACCGCTTAACTAATATTTGTAACCTCCAAGCTCTGTCATCCACAAACCTGCCTGCACTTTTATCTGTTCATTTAACTTTTGACATCTTCACACTTGTTATCATGCTTCTTGTACCATTTGCTTCTGCGAATGTATTGAAAATATGATTTGGATAGAAAGACATATGTGAAGATGGGTTGATGATAATACAATCAAAAGTTCCACTTGAGACAAGAAAAATAGAGAAGTAATGGATTTGACAAATTAAACCTAAAATGCTCGATGATAAATGTGAGGGATGCATGGGATGGAAAGAACAAGGAGCAGGAAGAGGAAGATGTTGAGTGAATTGAAGAAGACAAGGACATGAAAAAAAAAAAGCAAATCAAATTGAAATCTGGAGACAGTAGTGCAGAGACGTATGCCTGTCAATGTAGATAAAATATAGATTGGATTTGGAATGGGGGAAAACATACATTAAAACCACCGTCAGTTGTGTTGTGATATCTCTGTAGCAATGAATTTAATGTTTAGGAACGATGGCACTCAAATTGCTCTTGATTTCATAAACAAAGCTTCAAATTCTTTGGAAAGCGCTGGACACCGGCTTAGATATCTAAATCTCCAAAATCGTATTTTTTGGATTAGTAGTTTTGAGGGCAAACATCAACACCTCCCTTCAAATGTAATCTTGTATCATACTACGTCATCTATAATGGGAAAGGCTTCACTTCGCTCGATTTTTATTAGTTTATTTACACTGTTTCGGCTCAGCAAATGTATTCACTCAAGCTACGGTAACATTATAGACCAGTAAGGGCTCTGTTAACTTTGTAGAGGCATGGGTGATCAGTATTTTTAGAGCTGAAGCTGCAACTTGGAAGCTAGATATTACATGAAAACATGTGAATGCCATTTGGGCTCACAAATCCTCCAATGGTGGTTTTGCTTATTTCTGTGCCACATTGGAAGAGACGTGATCACATTTAAATGCTTAATAAATTCTCAACAAAATAGGACCATACTGTTTGGTTCTTTCGGTAAAGTCACGTAGGTATAAAATAAATCACGACGTTTCGATTGCAACACAAGCAATCATCATCAAGTGGGAAAACCACAGCAAGAACATTTTTTGCTGAAGTGGGAGAGGGATGCTGTGGTTTTCCCACCTGATGATGATTGCTTATGTTGCAATTGAAATGTGATTTATTTTATTTCTACCTACGTGACTTTACCGAAAGAACCAAAGAGTATGGATTCCTGCAGCCACGAAAGCTTCAAATCTAGATTAAAATAGGACCATACCAGATTTGATTTAACAATTTACATTTTTATGATGGTGAGGAAATTGTAGTCAGCCTGACATTTCCCAACTGTTGCGATGGGTTTAAGGTTGGCACAGAACTCAAAGATAATTTATACAAGTTTATTTCCAATTTGACTGTTCTCAGACACTTGTTTGCAACAGAGTTGCCATAGTGTCACATTCCAGGATACGATATTAAATGCCCATAGGCCTTTTTCCATGTAGCCGTTAACGCCGCTAAAACTAGCGCGTACAAGTAAAATAGCACCGAGAGGTGAACTGGAAAGACATTAACAGCGACTTAAGTTGCGCACAATAAGCATCACCTGGATGAGGTAGTGCAATTTACGCTCATGGCTCTGTAGCGCTGCAGTGCATCACGTGACACCAGACATCCAATGGGCACGTCAACGGTGAGGTCTAAAAATAATATAATGGAATAATATTCTGCAGTTTGGGAGGGGAGGGGCCTTGGGGTTTCAATAGGCATGACATTATGCCATGTGCAAGCTTTTCATAATACAGGTATCCCTCAATTTACGAATGTTCGATTTATGAAATTTTGCAGAACGTAATTGACAAATTATGGACACTTTTTGATTAACAAAGTCAAATTTCTGCGTGAACGAATTTTCAAACAAGCACCTGGGAGGTTTTGTCATCCATCTGCCACATTGTCATAGTATCCTAGAGTGCAAAAGTAGTGCCTCCACATTACCTCCTCAGTCATTCCAACATGCAGATATTTTGGTGAGTTCCCTGTCACTGGTTTTTGCTGTTTCTTTACAACAAAAACCCTTTGATTCAATCATGTTTATATTTTTGTTCTTCATCATTTTTGTATTGTTAAAAGTGATTTAGGTGAATATTGTTAGGTTTGGATTAGAGTTGGAATGACTGTCCAAAACACATCCCTAATTTCTTGCATTAAATTTATGGGAAAGGCCGTTCTGATTTACGAAATTTAGTTTTCCGCATCCCTTTTGTAAATCGAGGGATACCTATATTTAAATGCCACAAAAGCTTTTGATTGTGGTTGACGATGGTTTCGTTATGCAGCTTTAATTACATCAGAGAAGATACTCCTTTTGTGCAACTTTTATGACGCTGTTAAAACAACATAACTACAGCACTTGAAAAAACTGATTGTAGCTTTTTTGACTTGTATTCATTTCCACTTGTAAAACGTATTCATGTAGCATTTATATCATTGAACTTTGCAATGTTTTTCTACATTTGAAGTGCATGTCTAATTTTAGTCAAGTAGCTTTTAAAGCACATATGGTACAATACAATTACTCTAATTATCACCACTCTCGAGTGCGGTATTAGGAATTGGTGCCAAATGTGTACAATGCAGAATCTCTTAGGCCTGAAGTGGAAAATGCGTGGCTTATGCCTGCACCGCTTTCAGTTGGGAAAACTGTCGGTGCATATAAATGAGCTCCTGACGTCAAGGCTCTGGGCTGCTGATTACCGATAATTGGTAAAGTGGCATTTTGTGCGCAAGAGTAGCAACACACTTAGCGAGAGAACAAGTGTCAGTCAAATTACAAATTTGAAAAACTTTCTTATGATGTCAGTTTACCTTGCCTTTGGAAATATGTTTCAGATTTGTATTGTGTTGTAGTTGATTGCAAAGCAGACAATTACTGTCATTTTATATAACAAGGAGATTACATAAACCCGTAATGCCAATGAAACACTGACTCTTGCAAGGGCCACCTGGGTGTTAAAAAATAAATATGATTTAAAATGTAATTAACTGCAGATCACTCGCCAAATGCCTGGCATACGCACATTGTTAAAATAATCAAATACACTGAGGAAGTGATGTCACATAGCCATCATGTAGTTAATTATTCTGAGAGGTTTTGAAAAACAATGTGTGACAACTGTTTTTATAAAATTTTAACTTGAGTTATTGTGACATATAATTTGGCAGGAAATAAAATGCATAAAAAAATCTAACTTTCAAAAAGCATGATAGTTTACAAGTGGACCGCTATCGTGGACCTTATAAGGCATGGTATGGCATTGCCATCGCCATATTTTGGCAAGCATGGCAGATATCCATGTGTGAATGAACATATCTCAAAACTCGACATGGGAGAGTTATAAGACAGGAAGGTTTGACTAATCGTGTGTGTATTAACATTGCCTTGTTGGTATGTACGGTGGCCTTGATATAATTTGTTTTCGATCTTATTTTATACTCTACTATACAATGATTATCGCATTATCAGTTTCCCTAACTTTACAATTGTACTTAACATTTCTATTGTCTTGTTTTTGTGCCTTGAATGTACTTTAAAGTACGAATAAAGATGTCGTATAACCTGTCAAAAATCTTCTAGTCATTGCGACTTGATGATCTATAGCTATTAGAATGTACATGCTGTCAGAATGATCACGAGAGAAGAATAACGGCATATGTTAATTTACTCTGGTAAACATAAAAATAGCACATTTAATGTGTTTATGGCAATATGTTCAGACCGTAAATGGCAATGTCCTGCTAGCCACGAAACGTCCTCAGGAGAGTGTAGTTTTGCTCTTATTCTGTTAAGTGGTTGCTTATATGGTCCATAGTTTGTTGGCCTGTTCATGTTCTGATGGAGGAGTTGATACATCAATATGAACTTAGATTATGGGTAATCATAATTTGTCCGAAGTTTGTTATTTTATCAATGATCACGATATAATGATGGTTTGCAAAATTATTATGCAGTTTTATGTCCGATTAGCACAGTTGGCTACGTATAGTGCGAAAGAAGTTCAACATTGTACAATATAGCGTATCACCATATCGAGACAACCCTGGTAGGTAGATGCTGTGAGGGATTACCAGCGGACATGCTCGGGTGTGTGCATGCGTGATGGGTGAGGTGTGAAAGCTTGAAGGAATCTGTGCGAGGTGATGATGCCTACGCTCTTTGTTCACCGAAGATCTCGGTGCACATAGCCAAGGACCCAACATCCAGGCCTGGTGGCCAGACCACGAAGGAGCAGCACAAGATGCTGGAGCAGCGCCGGGGAATCCTGAAGATGAAGTTAAGGAGGATGAGCTCCAACAGTTATCAGGTCTATACAATTTTCACATCACTCTAACCCCTTTTTACGACTGGCCCTGTCTATTCCTCGGGATCCAGAAAGGCCCTCGTGTAACAGATCTGACATTTCAAGTGACCGAATGGATATTTTTGTTTGTGGGCCATACACGTTGCTATGTCTGCTGCCATTTCGTGGGAATTTTTTGGGGAAAACTTGCGTATGAGAACCTGTGTCTTCCCTCATTCTGGAAATGATGGCCACAAATTACATGGACCTATAAGTTGTCTGCAACATGAAGTACAGTTAAAAATGCATAGCCATGTAAAGGTTAATGCTTTACAACAAAGGCTGCATATGTTTAAAAAATGTTTCCATCTGTCCATACTGGGAGGTGGGGGTGGTTGGATGAAGGGTGGCACTATGACTTGTAAAAATTATCAAATATGAACAAGTTGTGTTGCTATTCAGAACTTGTCCGATTGAAAAACGGTCAAATTGAGCAAAGGGCTATCGCCAAAACCTTGAGACTAAAACAGAAAATTGGACTTTGCAAATATATACAAACCCATGTTGGAAAGCGTTGTGTAATCCGTGCACACATGTAATTGTTTTAACTTGTTTTGTATACACGTTTATGCCCCATGACCAAACGCATGCCGACTCGTCGGAAGCTAAGCAGTATTAGTCCGGATTGTGTGGTATGGGTGGCCACCTTGCACAACAAACAGGTGTTATAGAGGCTGCTAGGGAGCTATATTGTAGGCAGCAGAGGGCAGTTGGGGTAATGTCATTGTTATATTCTACTTGAGGCTCCCGCACATATGTTCCCGACCTCAAATCTGTACTGACTAGCATGGTGACGTATGGTCAAATAGCTCCCCAAGACAGTTGAGTGATAAAAACAGCTGTGAATGCATATATGTTAATGTGGTTGCCTTCGATGTATGCTGTCACCAGATGCTTTTACTGGTAGGAACGAAGTGGACCAGCCTACAATAGATTATATCGTCCGTCCATCCGTCCGTCCGTCCGATGTCCCATTACGTGTAGCAACATCGCCCCCTACTGAAAACACTTGGCATGACCCTACAAAAACCTTTAGACTCTGTGAGGCTTTCCTGGCTAAACAAGTGTAACATTCCCTTATAATTCCCTCAGATAGCTTTTAATTAAAACATTTAAATTAATGAGGCTTTCCTGGCTAAACACGTGTAACCTTCTCTTATAATTCCGAGATAGCTTTTAATTAAAACTTTGAAATTAAATAAAAAAAACTCACAGCGCCCTAAAGCCTAGAACTAGGCCTCAAAGTCTCCCTTCGTATCGTACCCCCGCGTGTGTGAAAGGGAGTTAATGTTTAACAATTTTACATTCCCTGATGTTTTAAAATAGAAACATTTACATTTAAAGCTTTTACATTAATAATTATAACATTTAAATTATACATTAATAATTAAAACATTTAAATTAAAAATTAACTCACAGCGCCCTAAAGCCTACAGCTAGGCCTAAAGCCTAGAACTAGGCCTCAAAATCTCCCTTCGGATCGTCCGATTAGGTGTAGCAACATCGCCCCCTACTGCAAACACTTGGCAGGACCCTACAAAAACCTTTAGACTCAGTGGGGCTTTCCTGGCTAAACAAGTGTAATAATACATTATGTTTATATTCTTTGGTTATTCGTTCCTACCAGCCCACCCCGCAGGGTCCTGTTTTATTTATAACTTACAGCCCATGGCTGAATGAAGGATCCATGCCGTTTCGGTCTTGGAGTTTATTTGACTATACTTCACCATGCTGGTCAGTGTGCATTGGTGAAGGCGGGGAGCATAGAAATGGGAGCATAACATAGCACATACATTTTCTTCTGCTCCATTCTGCTGCCTACAACGTTTCTGTTGGTGGCGTAAAACTGAAATCAGAATTGTAATTATAATTTTGTAATGAATTTCATTGTAATTGTACCATCAGCCAACAACTCCAACTGCTGTTGTAAATGTGCCCGGGGTTGTTCTCTGATGGTGATAGTTGTGGCTATGTGTGCATGCGTGCGAGCACAGGTGGTCCACACGGCAGTGCACGCTCGCACCTGCACATCCCAGAAGACTCGCTTCTCCTGCTGGTTCTGCGGTCGTGTGTTCTGGGGGCAGGAGGAGTGGGTGAGCCACGGGCAACGCCACCTTTCGGAGGCGACACGCAACTGGGGGACGATATTCCCCTCTGCCATTTCCAAGGCCGCATTCTCGACCACCCTGTCCGTCTGAAGAGCTGGCAACCTCCTGCCAGCCCTGATTTCTGGGCTTGGAGTATAATAACGGGACAATACCATTTAGATTCAGGCTGTTTTATGTCGGTGTGTTGCGCTCTCCTCTGATGGCAGGGGTAATTTCTGGACTTGCGCAATTGAGCCAGAAGGAAGGCAATCCAGCGGGTTAGCGACACAAGCCGGATCTTTGTTGTTTAGTGCGACGAGGACAAGGGGTCTGGTTCGATTACCACCGTCACAGTCTAGTTAAAACAGCAGAAACAGGAAAGTGCCATGAATATTTGGAGCGCTCATTTATGGTCTTGATGCACCGACATCGTTCAATCCAGCGGTTTTTGGCACTTGCTGAAGGACTGCTTGGCACGAGGTTGAAAGTTAAACTCCCATCTTGCAATTAAAATGCAACACTTCATGGGATCATGCTAGGCTAATTTGGGGGCATCAGCCATTCTAAATCAGAAAATGGCCCCCTTTGTCATGGATGAACTGGTTGATTGCCACCGGAAGTAGGCAGCGATGGATGTTGCCAAGGGTTTCTGCCCATGTCATCCCTGTAAATCTTCCGAGAATGAAATGGAAAGATACTGACTGCTGAAGAAGTAGGTCTTGGGGGTGGGGGGGGGGGGAAACGTGTTTCGATATTGATTTTGTGATTGTCAGTTTCATAACTCGTAACTAGAAATGTACCTGCAGCAACTAGTGATGCACAAAGTTAATCAATTTCAAACTCCATAACTCCAAGGGAAACTGAACAACACATGGGGAACGACCGTCAACTTTACTAACGGGAAACACAATGGAAATATTTAACATAGCATGTATGTAAATAGGCATCGATTAGTTTTTTTTTTAAACTTTTCTTACGCGGACGTTTACATGCCAGTCATGTTTGTGTGTGTGAATAGTTTGTTATTTATCCTAATGTTACATTTAGGCCAAAGGTGCGGGAAGTGTTGTATAAATAACAGTTCTTAGATTGAATCATAGGGCCTGTATTGTTCAGTTGCGAAGGTAAAAATGAAATATTACAAGACTAAGATATATATGCGGAAATCCCTCAAGTCCTGCCTGGCTTATGGGCAGTGGCTACGAGCTAATGGAATAGCCGTAACCTGACCTGAGATCCCTATTGCTATCCCTAATCTCCCCATATCTCACTAGCCCCAATTTTTATCACCCAGCACGAACCCTAAACCACAAACCCTAAACCACAAACCCTAACCCATTAGTCCAAATGCCCTAAATCTTAACATCCCTGGAAGGCATTGGCAGTGGAGGTGGCAAAATTAAATCACGTGATTTACACGAGGCTTGAGTTAAACAGATGTGAGTGCTCATCGTTACATGCTATCCACTATTTTTATTTTCAATTGTAAAATATGGTGTTTTCACTTTTTATATTGTGCACGTTGCTTATACAGTATGTTGGTGAATTTGAGAAACGACTGCCTTGCTTTATTCACGGTCTTGAAGAACTTGGACATGTATCGCCAGATAGATTTGGGATGGCTTGGAGGTCTTCATCTAAAAGTGGTTGAGTCATGACTGATGATTTGGCGGCTCAACAGTTTTCTTTCTAGGTGTAACAATTCACTACCCGTAGTCTCTGAAATATTATCACATGTTGCGATTGACAGGTCACGATTTGATAATCGTGATGAAATTGTTTTTTATCTTAAATGTCTTTATTGGCTGCAGAGCTCAAAATGAACTTGCTACATACGCACATTGTTTATACGACACTTGTATTTAGAGCTTCGACATTGATCACTGCGTTGGGGACACCAATCAGGTCCATGAAGGTGCAGAGAATCTGGCCAGGTGGCTCAAGTGGCAGAGTGCGAGTGGCTCGTATTCGGAAAAGTTGCGAGTTCAAATCCTGGTGGTAGGGGGTTGGCTTTACTCCTCTCTCCGGTGGTCAAAACTAGTAGCTTGTGGGGGAAGTCAACAGCGGTTATTCTGTGGGTAGACTTGCCCTCCACCATAAAATTCCCTGCGCATTTGAGCAAGGAAATCACTCCCAACTGATCACTGCACCTATAGAATAATTGACGATGCAGAGACGTGTGGGGTTCTTTGCAACAAAAAATGGGCTTCACCCTTGGGTGAGCCTAGAAACATGCCACTGCTGCACACATTGCAAGAACTGTTTACGTTCGGTTGCTGACATTTCCTCTCTGCATACAAAAACCCTACAGCCACGTGTTTTTATTCTCAGGTTTGAGTGGTGCCTGAATAAAAAGCGGTTTTGGAAAAAACACGCGACATGCCTCTTGATGTCAGTCCACCGGTTGATGAAACTCTCGCCATGGTGCGAATTCACGTTTAATACTCCTAGTGTTTTGTGCTGTAAATGTTCTTACATCACAGGGTGTAAGGGTTAAGTGGTGGTAGATCCTTACCGAATATGGTTCTTTCACCCCCGCTCCCCTAAATGTTAAAGATTGTTCATGGTTCAGAGGTCATGATCCAATTCAAGAATCCACTTTGTTGCCTTGTACGTTTTGTCTTGTATGTACGGTACTGCAAGCCTCGTCTGTATGCCGTGGTGCGAATCGTCTCCACACCGTGTTGTCGTTCTGGGTCGTTTGCACCACCTGTCAAACAGTTTCTTCTGTACTGT